CCTGTCCCGGCAAACAGAGATACACCTTCACCATTATATGTGAAGGCATATGTCTAACACACGGCTGTGCTCATAACAGATGATGGATAATTGTGTGGATTAGAAAAAAGCACTTGGAGATGCCTGTTAACATGCAGATGCTGGGCCCCACTTTAGTATGCCTGGGGTGGGACTCGGGTCAGCATTGTCATGAGTTCCCGGGGGCTGGCCATCCTGTGGACACACCTGGGATGCTGGGTGGGAAGCCCCGGGCCTCTCAGTACTCTGTCCCTGTTGGCCACTCCTCACCACTTGTCTCGTCTCAGCCAATTGCCTTATTGTCCCCCAAACATGGCGTATGCCCCCCACCCCCTCGCCTTTGATCCGACATCCCACTGGCCCGGCTCTGGCTCTCTGCTTACTCAGTGCTCTCTCCCATGGCCCGCTGTGGGCTAGAGAGCAGCTGGGGACTCAAGGACCTGAGACAGGCTCCCGATGGCACAGCAGAGTATCCACGGTCAGGAGTCAGCAGACTTGAGTCTGAAGGGTGGGACGGTGCTACCTGAGTCTCAATTTTCTTGTCAGTAAAGGGGGAAGCCACTACTTACTGACTGGATTGGACATGTTACTAAAATAGAGGTGGCTTGCCCTGGCCGGTTTGGCTCAGCGGTTAGAGCATCGGCCTGCGGTCCAGAGAGACCCGGGTTCGGTTCCCGCTAAGGGCACGTACCTCGGTTGCAGTTTGTCCCCGGCCCTGTTTGGGTCATGTGGGTGGCGACCACTCGATGTGTCCCTTTCACATCGATGTTTCTCTCTCTCTCTGTCCCTCCCACTCTATCTGAACAAAAAATGAAAAAATGTCCTCGGGTAAGGATAAAAAATAAATAAAAATTAAAAAAATATAAATAAATAAATAGCGGTGGCTTTGTCAGCAGCCTCTCAGCCCCGGGTCCCGCCTCGGCCCAGCCTTGCCTCTGGCCCGGGTGCTCAGAGCCGTCTGCAGGCAGGGCCGGAACGGGGCTCTGGACCCCACTACAGCCTGTCACACGGCTCGGCCCTCAGGCCAACGGTCAGCTCAGAGCAGCCCCAGAGCCACGGGAAGAGATAACGCCCCCTGAGCACTGCACCCCCCACCCCACCTCTGCCGTGGAGAGAATTCAGAAGCGTGGATGGGGAGGGTTGATGGAATAGGCTGGGAGAGAAGGCAGGAAGGTGCTGGCTGAGGAGGCCTTTCCCGTGCCTGATACCCCCTTGGGGACACCTTGGCTGCTCCAGCTTGGGGACCCACTGACCTGGGCCCAGGATGGCAGCAGCCTGGAACGGGGTGGAGTCCGTGGCATCCTTAGACCAGACCCTGCTCTAAATCGGGTCCAGCCGACACAAAGGCTGCTGCCGTGTCCTTGATACCCTATTTTTAAATCAAACGTAGGCTCAACAAAGAAGGGCATGGTAGACTAATCCAAATCAGTGACCAGACAAAGCCACGGCTGGCAGACACGGGCGAGCGAGCGGGCGGGCTCTCTGAGTGGCTGGGAACAGCTTCCATCTTGTCGACAAACAAGTTGCAAGACAGGAAATTGCCCTCCTCAGTGCCCATGTTATCTCTGTTTAATTGCCGTTTGATAATAAATGACAACAGAGTCCATTAATGAAGCTAACAATGTCCACGGAACACCAATTCCTTCTTTGGGGAGTCACCTTAGTAGAGAGCCTTGATTCAGCCTCCTGAGCCCACAGCACTTTATGACGCTGTTTAAAACGATGCCCAGGCCCGAGACGGGTGGGGACGACTCCTAGTGCAGAGGGAGCTGTGTAGGAGGAAGGGGAGAGCCCTTGATGAGCCAGGGCAGGGGGGGCCTGGGGGCTGGAGGGCAGCAGTGAGCGTGCACTATAATTCTGAACATGTGGTAGAACAAAGAACAACATTAGATTTACTTGGAAGACAAGCACAGCCGACTTATGCATCCCAGAACCGAGGGAGCAGTGAGCCTGCCGCCCCATGGTCAGCTCCGTGGCAAGAAAGGGAAGTTCAGCGCGCAGGTGGAGCTGGCGAAAGGTAAACCGCACTTATTTCCGGCAAAGGCGGGGGCCCTGGGCTGTGACTGGCACTGAGCTCCCAGCAGGAGAGGAGGACGTGGGGCCTGGCTCCTTTCTCCACAGGGAGCAAACCAGTGGCCATCGTCAGGGCAAAGACTAAGTTCTGATCATGTTGTCTGGGAGATGGGCACCTGGGCATACCTGCTAGATCTGTTTAGGACCCCGAGGGAGGGCATGCAGTAGGAGTAAAGGCTCTGGATAGAAGGGTGAAGAAGGTCAAGTTCATGGCGGGATCCGTGCCAGACTATGCCTAGAGCTGTGAGCATCATAAGGGCATTAGAGGGTGTTTTGAATACCAGGACAGACAGAGAGGGCAGGGGGCCTTCGAGGCAGTGGCCACAGAAGGCAGACAGTCACTTCAATGCACTGGTCCTCAGGGTTAGCGGAGAGCTTACTAGTGGCTTAAAAATCTTTCCCCTGAAACACTCACTAAAAAGCCTAGCAGCATCTGAAGGAGCCTCAGGAGACATTCCTTAAACCATCCTTACTCCCCCCTTCTCATTCAGAGAGGATGGTTTTGCAGACCAGTTTTTGATTATGTAAATATTTAAACACAGTAGTATCTAATCATGTTATAGTTAATAAGTACCCAGTTCAAATGCCACCAATTCAGAAGACTGGACAAAGAAGCCTGGGAATTAAGTGTTCTTCTCAAGCTATTCCTGGGATGTCCCTAAAAGACAGTCCTGTACGGCAATGTGGCCCAGAAGTGGACTTCCCCGGGGCTCCTCAGTGTCCAGGCTTCTGCTGCCTTCCTGGATCGATACCACCATGTCCCCAACCCCCAAACATCTTGCCCAAGACCAACTGTGGCCCGTCACTGGCTTTTCATTTGTCCTGTCCCAAGATGCAGCCTCTTAAAACACTGACTTGACCATGCCTTGCAGGCCAGAGCTCCCCACCACAGCCATGGCTTCCGGGGTATGTCACTCCTTAGTCCCCAGGCGGGGTAACTGTATGTGGTTAGTAGAGGCCGAAGGCCAGGACGGTTCCACAGCCGGCCTCCCTCCTTGCACCCCTCTGGTCTCTCTGCGCAGCTGAAACATACCGGCCCCCAGAGGAACACTTCAGTGACTCTCCATTGCCCTCAGGGTCAAGTCCCAGCATCACTCGCATCAGCTGGGAACTTGTGAAAATATAAAATCTCAGGCCCTCCCCTGACCTCCTGACTCAGCTTCCAGGTGGTTCCGCCGCGATGGAGTGTGGGCACCCGTGCTGGGGAGCACAGCTTACCTGCCGATCGGCCTCTCCATCTCCCTCCTCTCTCAGCTCTTCCTCCCTCCTCGCACTCCAAGCCCCCATCAGACAGGGCCACCTGCCTCCCAGCACCCTGCACCCCGAGCTGTCTTGCTCTTTCCACACTTATTATACTGTAGGTTTCCTGCATCTTTACTTGTCTCTCTCCCTCAAGTATACACCAGAGCAGGGTGGATAACTTATCAACTGCCACATACGACTGTGACTAGCGCCTGCAGTAGGTGATCAAGACGGACTTGTTGAGAGAATGAGTGCTTGGACAGACGAAGACACTCACTGCACCCGTGTGTCCGCACTGCCTTTGATGCTAAAGCCCCATTTCCCAATGGGAAGGAGCTGGTCTTCCCAGTCATTGCCCTGCTCCCCCGGGCACTTGTCGCCAGTCGTAAATGGTGGTAGGGCTCAGGACATAATCTTCAGTCCCATAGATGAGATCTGAACTCAAAATGCTTCCGTTGTGCTAGAGGGTCTGGGTTCCAGTCTTCTTTGGTAACGGACACTTGCCTCTCCATGCCTCAGTTTCCTTATGCCTCAGTTTCCCAGAGTGGCAGCAAGGACCAAAGAATTCAGGATTGGATCTGTGTGGCATCCCTCTTTCGAAGGACCCATCGCCTCGGAGGGAGGCCGGGCTCTGGGCTAGAACCACCTGTGGTAAGAGTAGAGGGAACACAACTCTTCTCTTTCCTAGTACTGGCTTACAGGAAACAAAGTTTTCTGAGCAGAGAAGACCCATGAGCCTTTACGTATACATGTGTGAGTATGTGCATATACATGTGCATTTGCATGTGAACAGGTGTGTTCATAGGATGGGAGACGACAGGAGCTGACAGGGTACTTTGTCGGGTGTCTTGTTTGCACAGGAGACTCGCTGAGGGTGGCTCTGAGTCAGACATCTAGCGCTCCTCTGGAATGGAACAATAAATGTCTTCCCAAGTTGTAGCTTGCCTTTTACTACTGCCGACTGACATAAAAATGTTTTAAATTTTGTGAATGTCAAGTGGAATGACATTTCTTAATATGTTTATTTCCAATCTTAGAGAATTTCTGCTAAACTCTTTGTGTACACACACACACACACACACACTCACCACTGGCTAGCACAAAGTTGTCGAAGGAAATTCATTTACCAGGCTCTGTTTTCAATCTGTTGGTTGGTCACTTTGTCCTTTTTGAGTTGTCTTGTGTGTTGCCGAGATCAGAGAACGCGTTCTCTGAAGTGTACCGCAAGCACCTTCTCCTTCCCGCCGGAGCCTGGCTCTGTACCAGCATTACAGCAGGTCACACTTCCCAGCAAACTGACGATGGCCTTCCAGGGCGGCCACGTCAACCGGGTTTTCAGGAGGGAATCGGCTAACTCTGTCTCTGCGGTTGTAAGCCAGCCTCAAAGCTGGTTATAATTACAACACATGTGCTTGCCTCCTAGAAAATGACTCTCATGTTTATTTACATTTTCCTTTCAGTATGACACATGCCCACGGAGCCTCTTAGTACCTGTGCTGATGCAACCACTTGTGAATCTTTCCCCTGACTCGGAGAAACAACCAGAAAGCTCCCCCAGAAATGGGTAACAACTACCCAAGCAGAAGACGATGAAAGGTACCAGAAGTCCCACAAATCCCCTGTGGGCCACGGCATTTACTCCTTTCCTGGTCAGAGATGGCTCCTACCTGGGGTCCCCAGCCGTGGCACGGGTACAGTATTGCTGTGTGGTTCTCCAGTGGCCCCTGGTCCAAGCAGACGTCTTTTGCCTTGTTGTTGCGAAGCTGCAGGGAAAAGCAAAACATCGCCCGTCAGACCACATCCGGCGGAGCCGCTGCTGCCCTGCCACCGGTCCACAGCGTCATGGTCCCAGCTCCTCAGTGGGAAGGCCAGGCAACACCCCACATCAGGACCAAGGCCAGCGTCTGGGCGGCGATCCCCCTGCAGAGCCCTTCAGTGGATGCCGCGGACACAACCCTGTGCCTGTGACCCTCACCCACACAGTTCCCCCACTGCCAGCATGAAAAAGGATCTCAGGAAACTTGGACATGGAAACACTGGTCACCCACTGGTCATCCAAAGTGGACTTCGGCACCAACACTGGTTTCAATAGCCCTGGGAAGCGGGGGTCAGCTTCTCGGGTCATTACTGGCTCGGAGGCATGGGAACTAGTAATGGAACCACAAACCAAGCCTTGCCATCATGCAGAGCACTAGTACTATTTATTTATATATTCAACAAATGTGTACTGAATGCCTACGCTGTGCCGGGCACCATCCTAGGGGTTCAGATGCACCTGCGGAGGGACAGACCAAAGTCCCCAAGACAAAACTTACCTAATTCCATCCTCCAGCTGCACTGTGTTCTACATGGGTGTCCACGCCCCTCCCCACCTGTGATCTCAACCAGCAGGAAAACGGCTATGTTGGTCTTCCCCATGTCCACACGGTCCCCTCCAGATTACATTCTCCATGGAAACCAAACTAACCAGGGGCAAATCCAGAAGAGGGGTTCAGCGACTAAGGGGTTCGGCCCCTGAGCCGAACGTTGAAAAGGTTACATGGGAAGGATGCTGGCAATGTTCTATTTTTCAGCCGGGTGGTGGGGACATGGATTTTTGCTTTATATTATTATTCTGCACATGCATGCTTTATGTACACTGTGTCTGTATTGTCCTCACATAAAGAATGCTTCCAGCCCTGGCCAGTTTGACTCAGCGGTTAGAGCATCAGCCCACGGACCAGAGGGTCCGGGGTTCGGTTCTCTCTAAGGGCACGTACCTCGGTTGCAGTTTGTCCCCATTGGGGTCATGTGGGTGGCAACCACTCGATGTGTCTCTCTCACATCGATGTTTCTCTCTCTCTCTTCCTCCCTCTCTCCCTCCTGCTCTATCTGAAGATAAATGCAAACATGTCCTTGGGTGAGGATAAAAGAAAAAGAATGCTTCCAGGGAAAAGAAAAATGAGAAACAGTGAGCCAGGGGCTGGGGCAGTGCAGGCCACAGGGCAGGACGGGCTGACTGTGTTCTGAGCAGCAGAGCTGGTGGCCGATGCTCCGTGCACACGGAAGTGCTTCCGCATGGGGAAGGCAGTGTCTCATGCACGCAAGTCAGGACACAAAGTGTACACACCTCTTCCTTTAAGAATTATCTTGAGACCTTCCAGCCAACAGAGGTAAATACAAATTTAAAACCAACGAAAAGTGAACTATTGTCTAAGCAAGCCTGGGCCCTGACACTGGGTGTGTGGTAAGGTAGAAACGCCAGGGCCGACACCTGCCCGGAGGTGTCTGTCTCCCTTGGTCACTGCACGGGCGTCTGGTGCGGGGACAAGAACTAGCAGGAGTGAGCATTAAAGTACAGTTGTCTGAATACTGATAATCTGTCACTAAGCTGAATCGGACAACCAAGTTATTCTTCTAGAAGGCATAACATGCAAATAAGGTGTAATCATGTTTGGGTCTAAAACCCCAGGTAATGTTAACAAACACTGGAAAGTTGAAGAGGCTGGTGAAAAAGTGTGTGTGCAGCTTCAACGTTAATTACGTTAATTACATAGAACCTGACCTTTCACTGCAGTGGCTCAGAGGCATTTTGTTTTTTTGAAGAGAGAAAGGGAGGAAGAGATAGAAACATCAATGAGAGGTTATCATAACATTATCGAAAGCAAGGCCCAAACAATTCAAATAACTAGAAAGATTTAAAAGACAAAAACAAGCCAGGTTAAACAAAAAAAATTAGGAGAGAGAAAGGAGCACAAACCCCAGAAATGTTCATTGGCCCAGGGAGAGTCTCGGACAGAATTGAACACGAGAAATGAAGGGGGTGAGCAGCCTGGACAGTATGAATTCACTCTGCCTCTCCCCTTTCCACCGCTCAGGGCTCTGGCGTGGTGAAAAGAACCGGCAAGAGTTGAGTGTTAAAAATAGAGAGATGCAAATTAAAACAACTATGAGGTATCACCTCACACCTGTCAGAATGGCCGCCATCAACAAATCATCAAACAACAAGTGCTGGCGAGGGTGTGGAGAAAAGGGGACTCTAGTACACTGCTGGGGGAATGCAGACTGGTGCAGCCACTATGAAAACACTATGGTGTTACCTCAAAAAATTAAAAATTGAACTGCCATTTGACCCAGTGATCCCACTTCTAGGAATATACCCTAAGAAGCCTGAAACACCCATCAGAAAGAATGTATGTACTCCCATGTTCATAGCAGCACTATTTACAATAGCTAAGATCTGGAAACACCCAAGTGCCCATCAGTAGATGAGTGGATAAAAAAGCTGTGCTACATATACACAATGGAGTACTATGCAGCTGTAAGAAAGAAAGATCTCTTATCATTAGAGATGACATGGAGGGACCTGAAGAGTATTATGCCAAGTGAAACAAGCCAAGCAAAAAAAGACAAATATCACATATTTCATTTATTTGTGGAATATAATGAACTAAACAAACTGATGAACAAAACTGACCCAGAGACATACAGGTCGGGTACAGACTGACAAACCCCAAAAGAGGGGGTGTTCAGGGGGGAAGAGATAAATCATAGAACTTATATGCAAGTATACATGACCAATGGACATGGACAACAAAGCTGGGGAAGGGGTGGGGAGATGGGGAGGAGGGTGTCAATGGGAAAAGAAGGAGAAACAGGTGTAACAAAAACAAATTAATAAAAATAATTTTTTAAAAATTAAAAAAAAATAGAATACTTAAAATTGCAAAAAAAAAAAAATAGAGGTGTAGCCCAGCTGGTGTGGCTCAGTGGTTGGGCAGGGACCCATGCACCAGGAGGTTGCTGGTTTGATTCCTGGTCAGGGCACATGCCCAGGTTGTGGGCCAGATCCCCAGTGGGGGGCATGCAGGAGGCGGCCAATCAATATTCTCTCTCATGGATGTTTCTCTCTCTCTCTCCCTCTCTCTTCCTCTCTCTCTAAAATCACTTTAAAAACAATAGAGAGGGCTAAATAATGGCGGATTTTGTTACAAACTGAATTTGATTAGTTTAGTTTCTTTCATTTAATGCTACAGTTCATCTGAAATATGTTTCAGTTAATGGTGAGCCCAACGAACAGAGGAGTAACAGCCAATGCCTAGAATGTTAACACTGATCCCGTCTGAGAACTGGGAATTGGAGTAAGTTTTGTTTTCATCTTCATATTTTTTACAGAATGTAGACATTCAATTTATTACTCGAGAGAGGAGATTTTGCAAAAACAAGCCTTCCCCCTCCAAATCAACTCTGAGCTCCGTGCTACCTCCAAGGCCTTACTGCTCGCTCCGAAGACATTGTTTATCCTGAGATCCCTGAGGCTGCCAGGCCCTGCAGCTGGCTACCTTCTAGCATTTTCATTCTTTCTTTGCTAATACTATTTTTTCTTCTAATTATAATATTATCACGTAAACACTAGAGATAACTGGGAAACATGACGAAGTACCCACACAAAGCTGCCTGTCCCGCTGCTCAGAGGTAACTAAAACTATCATTACTTCCCTGTGCTATTCCCTCACTTGCTTCCAACCTGAAGTCGTAGCTAATTCAGCTGTAGAATCCTGATGTTTTGCTTTGAAGAATTATATTATCAATACTTTTCTCATGTCATTCAACTTCTGTCCAAACCTTTTGAAATGGATGCAAAACATTTCAAACCACTAAGGTAGTCTATTTAACGAAACTTCAAGTCAGATTCAAAATTTTTGATCGAACAACAAAAAAAGTCACTGAGCTGAACAGTTTTACTCTCAAATCTTTGTCTTCATTTCGGGTTATTTGCTTAGGAAACAAGCAGAATGACAGTCATTAAGCCCTTTAATACATGTGGTTCAAACTGATTTTTTTTTTCTTTTTTCTCATCACCTGAGGACATTTTTTCATTTTTTGTTCAGATAGAGTGGGAGGGAGAGAGAGGAAGAGAGAGAGAGAAACATCTGCGTGAAAGGGACATATCGAGTGGCTGCCACCTGCACAACCCAACCAGGGCCGGGGACAAACTGCAACCCAGGTACATGCCCTTAGCGGGAACCGAACCCGGGTCTCTCTGGACCGCAGGCCAACGCTCTAACAGCTGAGCCAAACCGGCCAGGGCTCAAATTGCTTCTAAAACAGCTCATTTCAATTGTGCTCCCACCAGAGGACATGTGGTTTTTCATATTACCGAGACTTTGCTGGCAAAGTACCAACATATACTCTAAAAATGAGTATTTATTCACTTGGTGGTAGGGGAAAAAAAAAAGCTATTGTAATATATTTTAAAATTAGTTTTAATTTCTTTGATTATAAAATCAGTTAAAATGTTCATGTATTTTTCAACTATTTGTATTCCCTTTTGTACTTTATTTTTCTCTTGGGATTTAAAATTTTGTTATTTAGATTGACTTTTTTATTTAAATCAATTTGCAGGGCTCATTATCTATTAATGGTATTATCTGTTCATCTACAATATTTATGGCATACTTATTTCCAGTTTGGCATATTATTTCTCTGTTTGGTTGATGTATAGATTACTTTAATATTTATGAGCTCAGATCCATTATCCTTTCCCTTTGCATTTTCTTCCACGGCTTTGATTCTGAGAAAGCCCTTCCTTCGCCTTTCAGAGATCAGATTCCTATCTGTTTCCGCATGGTTCTATCACGGTTTTCTCCTCTTTCATTTAATGCTATAGTTGATTTGAAATTCACTTTGGGATATGGTGAGCTATAAGAATCTAAATTGTTTTATTTTCCAATGAGCTAGGCAATTTATCCAATTGTCTTGCGAATAGTCCATTCACTGCCCATTGTTTTCCAATGCTTCCTTTTTGTTATCAAAGTAAGATAATGAAAAACAAACAAACAAAACGCCCCGAACCATGCTTTTATCTGAGGAACAGTTGCTGTTAATAGTACTGCCGTGTGCCAAGTACTGTTTGTTCTAAGAACCCTCCACATCTTCCCCACAACCCTGTGCAGTGAGCGGGCCCCTACCCGCGCGGTACAGACCAGCGAGTGGACAGTGAGAGGAGCCACCCCAGGCAGTGGACTCACCCAGCAGGCTGGCTCCGAGTCCTCAGTGACCCTGACCACCACAGACTGTCCCTGCAGAAACAAGCTCCCCGTTGTTCCAAGTTCCAGACCCTGAGGCTTTACCTGGGGCTGATTTATAAGAGCCACGATCTGGGAGCAGCCACATGCCCATCAGTAGATGAGTAGATAAAAAGGCTTTGGTACGTTTGCCCTGGCCGGTTTGGCTCAGTGGTTAGAGCATCGGCTCATGGACTGAAGGGTCGAGGGTTCAATTCTAATCAAGGGATGTACCTGGGTTGCAGGTTCGATCCCTGACTCCAGTCTGGGTTGTGCAGGAGGCAAACAATCAATGTGTCTCTCTCACATCGACGCTTCTCTCTTTCTCTCTCTCTCTCTCTCTCTCTCTCCCCCCCCCTCCCTCCCTCCCTCTTTCCCTTTCACTCTATCTAAAATCAATGGGAAAAAAAATATCTTTGAGTGAGGATTAAAAACAACACAAAACATGCTTTGGTCTATTTATACAATGGCATACTACTCGGCTGTAAAAAAAGGAGGATATCTTACCCTTTGTGACAGCATGCACAGACCGGGAGAGCATTATGCTAAGTGAAATAAGCCAGTCAGAGAAAGACAAGTACCATATGATCTCACTCATATATCTCACTCATATGTGGAATCTAATGAACAAAACGAACTAACAAGCGGAATAGAAACAGACTCATAGAGAACAGACAGCTGTCGGGGGGGGGGGGGCTTGTGGGGCTCAGTGAAGGTGAAGGGATTAAGCAAAAAAAAAATCCTCATAGACAGAGACAACAGCACAGTGATTATCGGAGGGAAAGGGTGGGAAGAGGTAGAAAAAGGTAGAGGGGGAGTTAATGGTGATGGAAGGAGACTCTGGGTGGTGAACACCCAGTACAATATACAGATGATGTATTACAGAATTATACACCTAAAGCCTATATAATTTTATTAACCAATGTCACCCCAATAAATTTTTTAAAAAGGCATCAGGCATAAAGTAGGAAAATTCACAGTTGTAGAAAAAGCAAACACTCTAAGTAAAGAGAGCCTTGTAGCTTCAGCCTAGATCTAGAGATATAGCTATGAGTGCACAAAAAGCATAAATGGGTGTATATACAAATATATAGTTTTGATAGAAAACAACATACACACACAGTAAAGAAGACCACACATCAAAATGTACACATGATCTATAGAATCAGAATGCCTATGTCCACCTCGGCTTCAGGACTAATGGGCTGTGAAACCTTAGGCGATTTATTTAATTTCTCTAAGTCTCAGCTTTCTTATTAATGAAATGGAAATACTGCTACCACTTCATATGGTGACAGTGAAACAAATTCACGTGTGAAAAGCACTTGGAATAGTGCATGGCGTTTGGAAGCACTCAGTGAGTGTCCAGTGCCATTATTGTTATTGTCAAATTTTTCTAAAATTCCTATTTATGACATCTGTACTAAGAGAAAAGTCAATCTGTCTTACGGAGTAGAAAGGTGACGCTGTCTCATCACAGGAAATCTGAAAAGCACCCTTTCTATGGCGGTAAATGGCTCCGGCCCACAGCGCTGAGCAAATGGTGTCCCCATCTCATTTAACACCCACCTTCTTAGTTAATGTCCCATTTACAGGTCCCAGGGGACCTCAAAATCAAAATGTCCCAAAGAGAACTCATCCTCCCCTCCACAGCCCAGGCAAAGGGACGTCTCATGCTTCACTGAAACATCCCCTTTGTCCCTTCCACCAGCTGGAGCGAGCCTGCTGTCAGGGACTGCACTGTCAAAGCCACCCCCGATGAACGCATGGGGACCTTGCTCCTCATCTCCCCCACCAAGGCAACACCCAACCCCAGGCGGCCGTCCGAGCTGAGAGCAGGCGCGGTCTGCATTACCTCCCCGTATGCGATGGTGTTATTGTATCTTCTCATTTCTGGGTAGACGTGGTCCAGGTACCACTGGAAGTTCTTGCACTTTAAACTTCTCCTCAAGGCTCTCCTTTCAGAGACATCGCCGATGTCAATGCCCGGATTCTGAAAGTAGAGAGAAGCAAAGGGCGTCAGTGACCGGGGAGCTCCGGCCGAGGAGAAGGACGGTGGCGTCGCCCTCGGAAAAACCATCGGAGAGAAATCTTAACTTCTGTGCATGCTAACTCAGAGGGCCAGATTGAGGGGCCCTCTCGAATCATCTAGCCCCAAGCTAGACACTGCTCTCCCCTGGGCACCGCACACTGTCCCCCAAACCAGCTGCCCTGGTCGTCGCTGTGCGAGAGGGATCCTGAGACCCTGATGCGGCACCCTGTCCCCAGCTCCGTCTCTCCCGCATTTCCTGAGTGACTATCTGGGCCAATTATTAAGGGAATTATTTGATTAAGACAAGAAAATACATGCCTATAAACCACCTCCTGTCTCTCCTTCTACGCATGTGTAATTTCCCCCTTTGTTGGCTCGTGGTGAAGTTCATTTATGCAGAAGTGAAAATAATTTTCCATTGCAAAGCTTGTAATAATGTTCTAATGAATAATTCACTCTGCTTTTATAGAAATGAACCTGTAATGGGCTGCTGTGTGCTGACAGGGAGAAATAAAGTGGCTGAAATATGACACCACAGACTCAGCCACGAGATGGCCCCCGAGCTAGAGGAGACAGGATGCTCTCTCCCAGAAAGGCGGGCAGCCAGGCGGCATCATGGGGACCCAGGGGAGGAGTTCAAATTATTTCATTAAGATTTCTTCTTTGGCAGCCAAACAATGATTTCCAAAGAAACATTCCTTTAAATGTCAAACATTAAAATTCAAAGGCAAACCTGGGCAGCAATATTGAACTCTGTTTTAATATACTTAGTATGATTAATGAGAGCGGTTGCTTGTGAAAAGTGTGGTGGGGTGCACTGGTGTTAGGGACCAGAGGTTGTTTGTAAGGATGGAGAAAACACTGGGATGAAGTCGGCAGCCTGAGGTCTTAGGACCCTAAGTCACAGCACGGGTCTGGGTCACAGCTCCTTGTGTGCACACAGGAAAACTAACACCTGTTCCACTGACACCCCAGGGCTGTGGGCAGAGGTGGTGAAGACTCCCCTTTGCACCCCCACCCTGCCATGTGCTATGTGCAGGACCTTAAGCAAGTTACTTTTAACCTCCAGAGCTTCAGTTTACTCATCTGTATAATGGACATCACACCAAGTTTGTAGCAAGCTAGCATTAATTGAGCACTTAATAATTGCCCTGCTCTGTTCTAAGCCTCATGTTTAGCTTTACAGGAGCCCTAGGAAATAAATGTTAACCATCCCCATTGCACAGATGAAGAAACTGAGGCAAATGGTCCCTAAGTCATGAAGCTGTTACGAGGGCTGGATGAGACACTGCAAATAAGGAACTTATCTAGTGCCTGGGACATAATAAGGGCTCAACGAATGTTGCCTATCTTTATATCATAACATGCAAAATCACTTAAAGTGTAACAGCTCAAAGTGCTGCAGTGCCACCGGGGTTTTCAATACACTGGACCCTTATTTCTACAATTGTAACAACAGTGATCTAAACTCTTCTTTATCCACAGACCTTGCACACATTCAACTGCATTTCTGCCGTTCTGGGCTCCAGCCTCCTGAAATACAGGGGCTGCTATTTCTCCACAGGAACAGTTCCAGGCCACTCTCTCAAGGGCATGGCTCGGACACCAGGCTGAGGAGATAAACCCAACTGTGGCTGGGGGTTCAGGTCACCCTGCCGGGCTGTGGAGGACAAACAACACTCACCAGCATCCCTATATCCTGTGCCAGGCACTGTCCTAAGGATGCCACAGGTACTTAGATTTCGTACCTTAGATTTTGTTCTCACAACCGCCCGAGGGAGGAGGACCTGCTAGTATCCCCATAGCTGAGGAACCTAAGGTACAAAGACCATATCATGGATTCTTTCAAGATCTCATAACTAGTAAGGGGCAGGGCTGGGACCCAACGGCTGCAGTAACATGGGTGTTTTCCTACGCTACATTCTGAGCGGAATCTGGGGGTGAGCTGAAGAGCCATATGCACATGGGATTCAGCATACAGTAGGGGCACATGTCACGAGGCCACTGGAGTTCCACGGGAGGACACACGGTTACAGCAGAGGACAGGGTCTGCTGCCAAAACCTGTGGGCAAGAATCTTCTCGACACAATGTATGTCCAGGAGCAGGGCATCCAGATTAATGTAGTAAGACCGGGACTAACACAATATGACCCTTCTAATCTTTGTAAGTGGATTTTGAGATTTCTGTCGTCACAGTCCCCATGGACAGCGAGGGCTCTAAAACCTGGAGATCTGTGGACTCTCTCAAAATGCGCTCATAATTTTGCAAGTGTGAGCATCTTTCTGGGGAGGAAGCATCAGCTTATTAAAGGGATCGATGGCCCGTCAGACACAAGGCTCACTGTTCTAGGGAGACGGGGAGGGCTGCTGGGCCTACCTCCAGCGGCAGGTTCCACGCTATGTACACATGAGACTTGTAATCGTCCATCCAGACCTCGGCCACCCGGAGAGCATTCCTCTTGGTGTAGAAGCCGATGTTGCTGTTGTATGGCTTCTTCTTCCGCTCGATGTGGGCCACCCGTGAGCAAGGCAGGACCTCCATGCTGCCCCCGCAGAGCCACACCTGGGGGTGCAAGGACTTGATCAGCCTGACAGAGAAATTCCCAGATGTCACCGCCCCTCCCCAAGGCCCGGAGGCAATGGCTCAGGAGACTTAGCACTGAGAAATAACAATCTAGGAGTGAGAAGTCACATTTTCATATATAAAGCCACGGAGATTTCAGGGTTGGTTTGTTACTGCAGTATAGCCTAACCTAACCTAACTAAAACAGGTATAAAAGAAAATGTGGGGAATTTTAAAGATATAATAGTTTAGGATATAAAATCCATATCTGGGTAAGAGAGGCCTATAAACCTAAGGATCCTGGGGTCGCACAATTTTCTTCGTTCTCAGCAGTGCATGGGCATCCATGAACATTTTTGTCCCCACCTGGTTGAAGCTGTGCCCTGAAGACCTAGACTAAAAAGTTCAAACCAAAAAAAAAAAAAAAAAAAAGACCATCTTTATTCACATCAGCACCAAGTACACAGTAGTCTAGTTCTGCATGGTTAACATGCTCTATATTGGAGTCCCGAGAGCACAGATGCCCAGTCTTCTGGAAGCATCCGCCCAACGTGATCATGTGCAGGCCTCAGTGTTGCCGGAATATCCAGGCGGAAGGCCGGAAGGATGGTTGCCTTTGCAAGATGCAAAAACCCAAGGAAGTCACGCCTGCCATCCTCTGCCTGGGCATGGCAGGCATCCCGGCTCCCAGGCCCCACTCGCAGGGTAAGCTGGACCATCCAAGTACTCTCAGTCCAGGCAGGAAAAAGAAACCATTTCTGATGGTCCAGAGGGACGATCTGTGAAAATGAATGCCCTGGTACTGGTGGAGAGAAGAGGAAGAAGACACCGAGAAATTTCAGGGACTCCTGAGACCGCCCTGCTGTGAGGCTCCGGGGCTCTCCACAAACGAGACTGACTGGGAACTGACTCGGGTCGGCACGAACAAGGTGCGCTCGTCCCAGACCGGGTCATTTCAGGCCATTCTACCTTTAGTCTCCTGGAAACTGCACCTCAAGGATGTGTCCACCTCTCCGGGGCCTTTATTGATTAAACAGGGTGGCACAAGTCATGTGCGTGTGGTCTTCTGTCTCCATTTCCCAGCTCTGGTTATACCACATGGAAATCATCCGCCGAGGTTCTCCCCATCACCAAGAGTCCTCTCTCACCATGCTCCTTCCTTCAATGAGGAGACTGTGGTCTACGAGATCAGTAGACAGTGGGTGGTTCTGACAAGTGTGATTTGGGGCCTGATAACTGGGTGCCCCCATGGGTGAGGAAGCCAAGTCTGGGAGGCAAAATATTGTAAGAGGTCTGTGGGGAATAGGGTGGCTGAATTTCCAGGGGTGGACAATGTACAAAGACGCAGAGTTCCACAGTGATGTGGCATATGACAGTTTCAAAATTCAGGGGGTCCTGGCTGGGTAGCTCGGTTGGTTAGAGTGTCATCCTGATGCACCCAGGTTGCGAGTTCAATTCCCGGTCAGGGCACGTACACGATATGGCCAATGAATGCACAAATATATGGAACAGAGAATCTATGGCACTACTCTTGGTGACCCTCTGCTGGGAAGTGCGAAGGGAGCCATGTATAAATGGTGATGGGCCATCAGGTGTAATGACTCCAGGAGCAGGTGCTAACTAACTTATTTATCCAGAAATTATCCATTCAGAGCCCAATTTCTAGCTTGGGAATGAAATGAAGAGTGTCAAAAGACAGGCCCTTGCTTTTATGAAGTTGATGATCTTGCAAGGAAAACACACTGACTAAATTAACGTGCAATTTATTAATTTTATTAATTAAATCATCACAAAATATCAGAAACGAAGCTAACTTCCATGAAAGAAAGCAACACGCTACTAGAAAAATTAGCATTCAGTGAAGGGATGTGGCCAGGGAACTCAGAGAAAGCATCCCTAGGGTGGGACACTCCAAGTGAAACCAGAAGGGCCAGACTAAGCTAACTGAGTTCAAGCAGAAAAGTGGACAAGAGCCCCAAGCACAGGCAGCCAGCACAGCTGCCGTGACCTTGGGTAGGAAGGGCATGGTGCAGTGGACTGCATTCAAAGATGGCAGCAACAATCCCTCCCATGCTTCTTTGCAATGTGACTTTTTTGCTCCTCCCATCAAAAAGTTGGGTCTATTTTCCCACCTCTTGGATCTGGGCTGGTCTTATGACTTTCATTGATCAACCAAATGCAGTAAAAGTGGTGTTTTGCACTGCCCAAGGCCCAGCCTCTGGAGGCTTTGCAGCTTCCAGCTGCTCCCTCTTGGAATCCTGAGTCCCCCATCCTGTGAGGGAGCCAAGAATGAAAGGCCAAGGAACCAGGGAGGTCTAGTCCTCGCGGTCATCCTGGCTGAGGACCCAAGCGTGCGAGTTAGGCTGGGAGAAGCCAGACACTTCCAGCTAATGTCACCAAGAGAAAAGAAATACCCTCCTGACCCCTGCCCCAACTGCCAACTTCCAGAATTGTAAGCAAATTGATTGCTGTTATTTTAAGCCACCATATTTGGGCTTCTACAAACTGAATTGATACACACAAGCTATTCAAGGAACTAAAAGAACAGCCCTGTGGCTGGAACCCAGGCGTGGAAGAGAGGAGAGGAGTGTGAAGGAAGGTGGAGGGGAAGGGGGTTCGCACCAGCAGGGCCTGTAGGCCCCATTGAGAAAACGGGTCTTCGTTCTAAATGAAAAGCTGCTGAAGGATTTGGATTTGAAAAGATCAAGTATGGGGAATATATCAGCAGTGAGGAGGGGGGACAGAAAACGGGAGGTTCTTACTGTCATCCAGGGGAGAAACATCATAGCTTTGACTAGGGCAGCAGAATAGAAAACACAGGAATATGGTCAGGTTGGAGGGTTAAGAGGCAAAGCCATCAGGAACAGACTGCATACGGCAGGGAGGGAGAATGGCTCTCAGGTTTCCTGCTCATGCAGCCTGACATACAGCGGCAGCGTTCTTCACTGGGTCAAACAGCCGCCCAAACCTACCCAGTCCTCCGGAGGCAGAAGACATCACTTTCAACAATACATTAAAGTATTATGTACCATGACCACACGGGATTTCCAAGGATACAAGGATCCTTCAACATCTGTAAGTCAATCAACATGACATACCATATGAAAAATATCATTGATAAAAATCATATGATAATCTCAACAGATGTAGAAAAAAGCATTTGACAAAATTCAACATACTTTTATGATAAAAACCCTCAGCAAAGTGTGTACAGAAGGAACATACCTCGACATAACGAAAGGCTTATATATGACAAAGCCACAGCTTTAAGCTTTTCCTCTAAGATCAGGAACAAGACAAGGATGCCCACTATCACCGCTTCTATTAAACTTAGTATTGGAAGTCCTTAGCACAGCAATCAGAAAAGAAAAAGAAGTAAGGTACCAAAATCAGAAAGGAAAAAGTAAAACTCACTATTTGCAAATAACATGATACTATATATAGAAAACCCTAAAGACTCTACAAAAAATGTATTAGGGCTAATAAATGAATTCAGTAAAGTTACAAGATACAAAATCAATATACAGAAATGTGTTGCATTTCCATACACCCATTACGAGTGATCAGAAGAAGAAATTAAGAAAACAACCCCATTTAAAATTACATCAAAGGCATAAAATACCTAGGAATAAATTTTACCATAAAGGTGAAATACCTGTGCTCTATAAACTGTAAGACATTGAAGAAAGAAAAAAAAAATTGTAGTGGATACAAATAAATGAGAGGATATACCATGCTCATGGATTGGGAGGATTGGTATTGTTAGAATGGTCATACTACATAAAGCAATATACAGATTCAATGCAATCCCTATTAAAATACAAACAGCATTCTTCTCAGAACTAGAACAACTAATCCTAAAATTGATACGGAACCACAGGAGACCCTGAATAGCCAAAGAAACCAGGTTTGGGAATCACTGACCTTGGACACACTGTATCTTTTCTGAGGCTGTGGTGTTATGACTCAATATTCCAGGGGCTGAAAGAAGCTGGAACGTGCCTGACCAAAGGGGAATTAGCCTGGCTGTGGTCCCCGGGTGTTGAGAAGAGGTGCAGGTGTCTACTGTACCAGGTGCCACCCAGATCGTGTTCTCCCCAGGGCCTCTGTCACTGAGGACTCTGGTCAGCAAGAGAAGACAGTGTGGGAGCCTGAAGCCACTGCCCAGGTGGAGGTGAAAAGCTGTAGGGACGCCAAGGAGCCAAAGCCAACGTGACTGGTTTGCTTATATCAGCTATTCTTGTAGGCAGTGGCCTCAGAACATTTCTGATACATTTTCTCATCTGGAAAATAATTAGAGCATATCCTCCAATATGTTTACTTTATCCATTTTAAGTTATATACATATGCAACTGTACAAATATATTTTACACATGATAAATGTACATAGATAGAGAAATTTAAAGTGGTAGAGAAAGAAAAGCATTAGTATATTCCTCTTGTACCCAAGTGGATTTTCTTGTGTGGCCCACTTTGGAAACCAATACAAGAATTCAAATATCCCGGGTCGAGCCCTACCCCAGCATTTTAAGAGACCAGCTGTTGATCGTGAGCAGCAGGAAGTATTCAGAAATGAGTAGGTTTGGGCCTCAGAAATCTAGTGAGGCCCTGGCCGGTTTGGCTCAGCGGTTAGAGCGTCCGCCTGCGGTCCGGAGAGACCAGGGTTCGGTTCCCGCTAAGGGCATGTACCTCGGTTGCAGTTTGTCCCCGGCCCTGGTTGGTCGTGCGGGTGGCAGCCACTCGATGTGTCCCTTTCCCATCGATGTTTCCCTCTCTCTCTCTTCTTCTCTCTCCCTCCCACTCTATCTGCACAAAAAATGGAAAAATGTCCTCGGGTGGTGAGGATAAAAAAAAAAAAGAAATCTAGTGAGAATTTTCAACTCTGTCATTGAGAGCCATGATAACGTGCAAGCTGTTTCTCCTGAGATGCTCCAGGCTCCCTCTGGAGCCTTTGCCCTCTGGAAAGAGCCCAGATGCTGTTATAGAAGGAAGCCCAGAGC